AGTAGGCTAAGATAAACCCAGTGTTGGTAATGCTTTGGAAGCCACAAAAGGTGGCTTCCCTCCTGACTGTTCCCTCCTGACCAAAAACCTGAACCAATAAATAGCCCCTATCATATCAAGTGTGTCAATCTCTATCAGTTAGCCCATTGTTACAACAAATTTTATTGCAGTACTCTTTTCCAGTCAACTTTTCTTTCAGCCATAATTATTGGGGTTTTTGGTTAGATTATAAATTTATTAAGGACAGGCACTGGATTTTTATTTGTTTATTATTTTTTTGGTATCACTACTGTTTAGCATTGTGCCTGACACATAGCAGCAACTTAATAAATATTTTTTGATTGATTATTGGTAATACAAAGAACACTGGGCTAAGGTTCATGAGATCCAGATTCTAATCTCACCTCTCTGCCAGGGACTAGTTGTGAGACCTTGGACAAGTCTCATCTTCCGTCTCTGAACCTCAGTTTTCTCTTCTGTGAAATGAAAGTTTTGAACAGTGGTAAGAACACTGGCTTCACAGTCCAGGGTTCAAAGCTTGTCTATAATGTTTGCTCCCTGGATGACCTTGGTCAAATTATTTCACTTCTATACATCTTCATCTGGAGGCTGGACCACTACTTGTCAGCTATGTTATAATAGGGATTCCCTTCACACGCAGTTGGATGAGATGACCTCTGGGGTCTCCCTTCCAACTCACAAATTTGGTAATTCTGGTCCTCAGTTTCCCCAGCTGGCAAATTAGAGGTATGAACTGGAAGGCTTCTGAGGTCCTTTCCAACTCTAGATCTGTGATCCTATAACTTTCAAGGTTTCTTTCAGCTTTGTCAGCTCATGACTTACAGAATCACAGAATCTCTGTGGTACAGGCCAGCAGGTATCCTCTCTGCAATATGCCTGACAAGTGGCTGGCCAGCCTCCACTGGACAGCTCCCATCAGCTGCAGTGACACGAGCTGGCTGCATTCCTAAGCAACCTATTTCATTTGGGACATTTCTAATTGTTAGGAAATCCCTCCATGTACTCAGGCAGAAATTGTTAATTATTAATTATTTATAGGGCTTTTGTTTTGACTGACTTGTTCCCTAGCCCATGCCCAAACCAATGCCAATATCTGTATATCACCCTCCAGACGGTTTGCACCAGGCAGTTTCTAAAATATAATTTATTGTGCCTTTCCTCTGAATTTACCTTCCATTCTATCTATCTATCTATCTATCTATCTATGGATTATGCATATGTATATTACATATTTGTATGTATAATATGTATATAAATTCTGTTACTACTTATTAAATATTGTCTATGTTATATGTATATTATACATTTGTTTGCATATGTATAATACATTCTACATTACTATTTATGTGTTGTCTATATGCTGTCTATATTATACATAGACATATTATATATTTATATGTATAATATGTATACTATATGCTATATTACTGCTTATTTATATGTTGTCACCTTTGTGGAGACAGCTGGTGGCACAGTGGATAGAGCACTAGGCCTGAATTCAGGAAGACCTGAGTTCAAATTCGACCTCAGATAATAACTGTGACCCTGGCAAGTCACTTAGCCTTCATTTGCCTCCATTTCCATAACTGTAAAATGGGGATAACAATAGCATCTATCTGCCAGGGCTATTGTGGGGATCAAATGAAATAATATTTATAAAAAGTACTTAGCACAGTGACCAGCACATAGTAGGTGCTATATAAATAAATTTATATAGCATTTACGTAGCACCTCCTTGAAGATAGGAACAATTTTTGCCTTCCTTTGCATTTCCGACACTGAACACAGTGCCCGGTACGCAGTAAAGTGCTTAACAAAAGCTAGTTGTGTGAGAGACACTTGTTGATAGACAATGCAGATATTCTGTGTTCTGTTCTAACCCTCGGAGTCTTGAGGTCCCCTACAGCTCTAAGAATCTCTGTTTCTATGGGGTACATGGAAGGAGTGAAGTGGCTGCAGGGGAGAAGTGATTCTGAACACTCTTCCTGGAGTGGATTCTTGATTACGTTCTTTACAAACCTTTCCAGGAAGGAAGATTCCTAGCTCTGGATGCTGCAGCAACTTGAAGCAGATTGCCAGCTTTCAGGAATGAGGAGTATCTGGCCCATGAGAGAATGCCCCAAGCCCCAGAGTAGCAGAGGATATCTTTAGGGCTGATAAGGTCTTGAAGACACAGAAACATTAGTGAAAGGACAGAAAGGACCAGGAGCTATGTCTGGTGTGTTTCTTTAAGGATGTCTGGGTGGCACCATGATTACCACTATTGTTTGTATTGAAATTTCCCTGAGTGGCTTACGTGGGCTTTGCATTTGTCACCACATGCAAAATTTAGAAATCAGTGCTCAGCTCATGTGGCTCAGTGGTTAGGTCAGATGAGGCCCAGGCAGAAGCACAGAGCAACCAGGTAGGAGACAGAGATGGAAAAGAGGACACAATGAGAGAATAAGACATTCATAGGATCATAGATCTTGAGTTAGAAGGGACCTTAGAGGCCAACTAGGCCAGACTTTACATATGAGGAAATGCTTTAGGACCAGAGAAATTAAGCAATTTGCCCAAGGTCAGACAGATGGTAAGCATCCAAGGTGACACCTGAACCTAGTCATTCCTCATGCATGGGGTCGTGTTATTCATCCTTTGTTCTGTGGTCCCATAATGTCTAACCAGCAACACTTTCTCTGTCTGAAGACTTTCTTTTTTCAGGAATTGACAAAAACAGTAATATTTGTTCCCATTTCTCTGGTACTGGATTGTTAGAGAAGATGCATTCCAAATATCACTTCTCTGATAGTACATGTTTTATTGTACCCATTTTAGAGATAAGGGAACGGAAATGGAAGTAAAATAACTTGCCTGTGGTCACACATCTAGTAAATATTGGAGTTGGGAGTCAAATCCATGTCTTGAGACTCTCTTTTTTCACTCCCCTAGTAATGTATAAGCAGTAGATTAATCCTTTTTCAAATTAGAGGCCTTCTTCTTCCTTGGGTGTTGCCATAGGGAAGGGGGCCTGAGATGTTAGGCCTTGGTGGAAGCAAATGTAACATTTCCTCTTCTAAACATCATATGACTACAGCATCAAGAGTTGAGAAGGACCACGGTTGTCATCAGGAAAGCACTTTCTAATCTCTAAAACACTATGGAAATATTTTTTTCCTTTACTTCAGCAAACATTTCTAAACATTCGCTGTGGGTAAACATCTCCAGTTCTTCAGTTCATCCTCCTATGGCATAAATCGGAGGCCTTCACCATCCTTGTTTCCCTCCTCTGAATTCTCCCCAATGTATTAGTGTCCTTCTTAAACTGTGGTATCCAGAACCGTTACAGCACTCCAGATAGGGTCTGACTGGAGCAGAGCCCAGCCTTGGACACTTGCCCCCTCTTCATATAGCCTGGGATTGTATCCACTTTTTGACTGTCATATGGCATACACCCCAATACGTGTTATATTAGGCATTTGTTGTTGTTCAGTTGTTTTCAGTCGTGTCCACCTTTTTGTGACCCCATTTGGGGTTCTCTTGGCAAAGATGCTGGAGTGGCTTGCCATTTCCTTCTTCAGCTCATTTGACAGATGAGGAAACTGAGGCAAACAGAGTTAAACGACTTGCCCAGGGTCTCACAGCTCGTGTCTGAGATAAGATTTTTAACTTAGAAGGATGAATCTTCCTGACTCCATGCATACCACTCTATCTACTGTGCTGCCTCGCTGCCCCCATATTGGGCACACAGTATGCTAAAACCCTGAGATATTTTTCTAATGATCTGCTGCCTTGCAGTACTTCTTTTCATCTTGTACTTATTCAGTTGGTTCCCTTTTAGTTCAAATGTAGAACTTTACATTTAGTTCAGTCTAGATTACAGAGGGCTTTGAAAGGCATGATCAAGAGTATATACTTTATTCAGTATGCATTGGAAAATCACTTGAAGGTTTTAAGGAGATGAGTGGCATGATCAGAGCAATAATTTTTTTCATTTTATATTTATTTTCCATTCCAAATTCCTTCCCTCCACCCTTCCCCCACCCACTGAGAAAGGAAGGAATATGATACCCATCAGAGCAATGCACTCATAAGGGACTTGGCAAAGACAGGAGAGACAGTGGAGGTAAGACATCAGGTTAGGAGGCTAGTCCCAGGGTGCAGGGCCAAGCAGGTGAATGTCTGAACTAAGAGAGCTTCAGTGGGGGTGGAAAAGAAGAGACAGATACAAGGGAAATGACAGGGGTAGAATTAACAGCACTTGGTAATTGGTTGGGTGTGTGGGATGAGGGAGGTGGGAGCATCAAGAATGACTAAGGTTAGAAGCTTGAGTGACTGGGAGGTTGGTGCTACTATGAACGGAAATAGCAAAGTAACGGCAAGGGAGTAGGCTTGGGGATACGATGATGCTGGGTTTAGGATCATTTGATGAGCTTGGTACATACAGATGACATAATTATGCCCATTTTTTAAGATAATGATACCAAGGCCCAAAGTGATTGATTTTCCTACAGTCACATAAAATTATTACTGCTACCATTATGATTATCATGACTCACACTTATAAAGTTAATAAAATGTAATGAATGTGCTAGTATTATGATCCCCATTTTACACATGAGGAAATTGAGGCTCAAGGAGGTTAAGCAATTTGCCTATAGTCACGTAGTAATTGGCAAGATCTGGGATTTGAGCCTGAGTCTTCTGAATCAGAGTTTAGTTGCCTCTTTATCCTGCTCATAAATGCTTTTCCTTCCCTGGATTCATGCCATCCTACTCCCACCCTTCTGCGGTTTTATTTATTGTATAAAAGTACAGAACACACAGTAGGTGCTTGTTAAGTGTTTGTTTAATTGAATGAATGAGCTATCCATTATGGAAGCAAGAGAGAGATGGGACCAAGTTTCTGACTGGTTTTCTTGAATAGGGAGAAATTAATAGAGAAGGAAGACTTCCTTATGTCACTTTCAAGCATTCTTTGTATTCTCTGTTTTCTCCAGAAAAGTTCCCAACCTATTCATAAACAAAGCACGGTCAGATGGCATTGGAAAGAGGACTGCAGAGCCCAAGGACATTGCTAATTCTTTGGAACCCGCTGTCATGGAGCAAGGTTGGTCATCTTTGGATAAAGCTTCTGTTACTGTGTATTGTCCTCATTTCTTGGAGTCTAGTTGGTGGCCTTGTTGAATCCTGACTTGGGATTTGATTGCTGTAATTCTCAGGTGTGAGCAAAATCACTCCCCCACGTCCATAATGGTGAATCTCCCTAGTGATGTTTGCTGTAAAGGAACTTCATTACAAGTATCCCCCCTCCATTCAGAATGTCCTCACTGCCATCCAGAGACATGAGTGGCTATGGGTTTGGGCTAATCGGTGGGGAGCCTGGACTTATAGAAACACTGGGTGGATGTAAAGGTCAACCACAAGCTGATGGCCTCAGAGCAAGTACATCAGAGTCTAAGGTAGAGATTCACTGATTTGACATAGTTAAGAGCAAGAAAAGGTCTAGAAGCCAGAGACAATGCAAGGAAGAGTAATCAGATTCTGTATGTCTACATGGAGGGAGGAATGGAGTATGTCAGGGATCCTTCTTTGGGTTCTTGCTATTCACCATTTTTATCAATAACTTGTGTATCATGCTTGTTAAGTCTATAGATGTGACATGGACGTGGAAGCTAACTTGTCTGGTTCTTTTTCTTGATCCTTCTGCAATGCTATTTCTCTTCCTAGCCCATTAATGACTTCATATTTCTTATACAAATAGATATAGATATATACACATATATATGTATATACATATATACATACATATATGCATGTATGTATATTACTTATCCTTATATTTGTCATTTCCCCCAGTAGAATATAAGCATCTTGAGGTCAATGACTGTTTTCATTTTTGTCTGTAGTTCCTAGCATAATACCTGGCACACAGGAGGCACTGGATAAATGCTTCTTGAATTGAATTCAGTTATAGAATCAAGATCCTAACCTATCTAGGCAGACTAGAGCAGTTAGATGGGTTTAATAAGATACAATGCAATAGGCATAAATGTAAAGTCCTACATATGGGATTAAAAAATCAACTTCACAGGTCAGGATTGGGGAAGAATGTCTAGATATTTATTAGTTTCTGAGCTGAATAGGAGTCAATGTTATGTGTTAGCTAAAAATATAATGAGGAAGGAAACAAGCATTTATTAAGCACCTACTTTGTGCCAGACACAGTGCTATGAGCTTTACAAATATTATATTGATCCTCATGACAGCCCTAGGAAATAAATGCTGTTATTATCCCCATTTCACAGTTAAGGAAACTGAGGCAGACACAGGCTAAGTGACTTGCCCAGAGTCACACATCTAATACATGTGTGAGGTCAGATTTGAACTCAGGTCTTCCTGACTCCAGGCCTAGTGCGCTATCTTTTGTACCACCTAGCTGCCTCTAGACAGAATCTGGGATTAATAAAGGCCTGGTGTCTAGAAGAAGGGTAATGATAATTCTACTGTACTCTCCTTTAGGCAAACAACATCTGGACTATTGTATTAATTTCTGAGTGCCTGAGCATATGAACTCCAGTTTGGCTTGTCTATATCTTCTTTGTATATAGCTGTTGGAATATCATCACCCCTATGTGACAGTGAGCTCCTTGAGAGCAAAAACTATTTTTTGCTTTTCTTTGTGTCTCTACTGTGTAGCACAATGCTTAGCACACATAATAGGTGCCTAACAATGCTTATGGACTTACTTGTGCTGACCGAAAGGCCAGCCTTAGAATTGGGAAGATCTGCGTTCCAGTCCTGCCTAACTTTGAGATCATGAGAAAGTCCCTTAACTGGAGTGTCTCTTAGCCACTCTCTAATTTAATAAGATACTGAAATGTCACCAGTCAGCATTGGTAGAGTGAATTTCTATGCTAGAATTACCCAGACCAATGAAATTATGTGCCAAAAATATTTGATAAACTGGAATGCTCTGATAGGAAGGCAATGGGAATGTTAAAGTGCCTGGATGCCGTGCCACTTGAGTAATAGTTGTGAAAGAACTAAAGTTATTTAGCGTAGATAAGAGGATTGGGGCAGATTATTGTTGTTCAGCTCTTCATGACCCATTTGGGGCAAAGATGCTGGAAGAGGTTTGGCATTTCCTTCTCCAGCTCATTTTACAGATGAGGAAACTGAGGCAAACAGGATTAAGTGACTTGCCCAGGATCACATAGCTAGTAAATACCTGGGGCCAGATTTGAACTCCGGAAGATAAATCTTCCTGACTCCAGGCCCTGTCACCTAGTGGTCCATTGAGGCGGGGGCGGCATAGTTCTCTTCAAGTTTTTTTAAGAGCTCTTAAGTGGAAGAAAAATTACATTTGTTCAGCTCAGCCCCAAAGGGCAAAACTAGGCACAACCTATGGTAGTTTAAGGAAAGAAGATTTAAGAAAGAAAAGAATAAAGTTTCCTAACTAGAACCATAGCAAAATGTCATAGGGTACCTTATGTATGTAGTATAGAAACATCAGGTTCCCCATTTGCCTGTTGTCTTTAAGTGAAGGCAGCATGGCCACTTGTCGGGAATGTTGTGGTGGGGATTCCGGTTCAGGTATGGCATGGAGTAGCTGTGCATAGAAGTCCCTTCCAACCCTGAAGTTCTGTTATTTGATTTAAATTGTTCGCAGTAACAAGAGGTGGGGGAGATCACTCTCGGCTAGGGGATGATCAGGGGAGAATTAATGAAGACTTGTAGTTGAACTAATGCTGAAGAAAGGAAAGGATCACAGTAGTCAGTGAGAGATAGGTGGGAATCCATGGCAGGAATGGGAGAGCCCTGAGCAAAAGCAAACGTGATGTAGGTTTAGACCAGGGCCTGAAAGAAGTCTAGTTTGACCGGAGCCTAGAGAACAAGGAATCATATCACAGTATCACAGATTAAGAGCTGGAAGGGACCTTTAAGGTGATGGAGTCCAAACCCCATCATTTTACAGAGGAAGAAATCGAGGTACAGATAGGTTAAGTCACCCAGGACCACAGCCAGTGTCTGAGACAGGATTTGAACCCGGACCTTGTTGACTCCCAGTCCAGTTTCCCGTCTACTTTATCTTTTCTGTCTCTTTACTATCTTTACTACCATGAAAGTCAGCGTGTTATCGAGGTACATTCCAGAGGCAGAATTTTTTTTTTTTCTCAAACCCAGGTCCCAGAAGAAAGACTTTTCTGCTCATGGAGTTCTGATAAGGAGAGGCATTGACATCTGCTCCATAGGGTCGGCAGTTTTATTGAACATGCAGTACATGTGGGCCAGCGACGAGGGACTATAGGGAGTTTCAGATTGATCAGGGTCTTCTTTTCCATCAACCAACAAGAATTTTTTGAATCTTTAATGTGCGCTCAGGGTTATACTGGGGAATACAGGAAAAACAGAAGACAATCCGTCTGCTCTCAAGAAACAAGTGATTTTATGTGCTACAGACAACCAGGGCCATAGGAATACCAAGGAAGGAGAGATCAGTGTGGGCTGAGGTTCTCGTGAAAGGCTCCCTGGAGAAGGTGGGGCTTGATCTGGGCCCACCAGCTTTCCAAGCAACCTAAGGCTAGGCTGCAACGCTTGAAGTGGTATTTGAGGTGCTTATTAATAGCAGAAATAATAATAATAACAACTTATAGTTATACAATGCATTAAGATAGGTGAAATGTTTTATATACATTACCTCATTTCAGCCTCATAATAGGTAGGCAGCTACTATAGGTTTGATTATCCCCATTTTATAGATGACAAAATTTGGGTCTTCAGTGGTAAAATCACTTGTTAGTGGTCATACAGCCAAGTTAGTGTCAGAGGCAAGATTTCAACCAAAGTCTTCCTTTTCTGATATTTAGTACTTTATCCTTAGAGCTATGTCCTTACATTTGGTTCAACAGGTAAAGGGCTAGGCTTGGAATCAGAAATACCAGAGTTCAAATATGGTCTCAGACACTTACTAACTATGTGACCCTGGGTAAGTCACTTACCCTGTGTCTCAGTTTCTTCATCTGTAAAATAGGGATAATAATAGCACCTCCCTTGCAAGGTTCAAATGAGATAATAATTGTAAAGTGCTTAGCAAAGTGTCTGTAACATAATAAGCATTATGGAAACGTCAGCTATGTTAATAATAACCGTATAGTTATGTAGTACGTTAAGATATGCAAAGCCTTTCACATACTTTATTTCATTTCAACGTCATAATAGATAGGAAGCATTATAGGTTTGATTTTTCCCCATTTTGAGATGAGAAAACTGAGGCCTTGAGAGATGAAATCACTTGTGTGTGTTCACAGTTAGCTAAGCTAATGTCAAAGGCAAGATTTCAATCCAAGTCTTCCTTTTCTGACAGTTAGTACTTTATCCTTACAGCTTTGTTCTTGTGTTCGGCAGTTAGGTGGCTAAGTAGATAGTGCACTGGGCCTGGAATCAGGAAGATCTGAGTTCAAATCCAGCCTTAGACACTTACTAACTGTGTGACCCTGGGCAAGTCATTTAATCTTTACTGTAAAATGGGTATAAGAATCATACCTATCTTCCAGGGTTGTATTGAGGATCAAATAAAATAGTAATTTCCAGGCCCTTAGCACAGTGCCTGACACATAATAAGCACTATATAAATGTTAACTATTGTTGTTGTTGTTATTATTATGATTTGCTTAAAGTTCGCACCCACATAATGCCAAGCGACAAGCTGTTATATGATCCAGTTTAACACATTCATTCACCATATAAAATCAGAATGCTAGATATAGAAGGAACCTTAGGTCCCACACCAATACAACTGAAAGCATCTTTGGTACATGCACCTGGGAGGGATGTGGAACATTGAAGACTTGAGCTAGGAAAAAACCGTCAAACACAGAACAAAGAATGTTACTGAGAGGAACCTGAGAACTTTAGAATGTTAGAGCACAGAATATATGTCAGATCTATAGAACATAGAATAGAGAATCATAGATTATTAGAACTGAAAGTGACATTAGGGATCATCTTAATCAAAGATACCCATTTGACATCCATGAGGAAAATGAAGGCTGGATTAATGAAAGCACTGACCAAAGGTCTTGGGCAGAGCTAGACCGACAGCGGGGC